CTGGGGTCTGAGGTGGGCTCTCCATAGTAAAACGCACACTCGCAGGGCCTCGCTTCTCCTATCGGTCTCATTCCACCTCTGCCTGCCTGCCCTTCTCTTGTCCAAAGATCCTGAGTTTGGGCCTTGCCAGGGAACAGCCAGGACCCAGCCTGTGACTGGACTGGGGGTGGAGCCTGTGTCCAGTGGTGTTCCCTGAATGTAGGGACTGGAAGATCTTGTGCCCTCAGGTTATTCCCCCTCCTCAGGTACAGGTGTTGGCTGTGGCTGGTGATGGTCTCCATGTAAGCTACATATGCCGTCTTCCATCACCCGGTCTCCACTGCCGAGAAGGTACTTGGCCTTTATCTGCTCTGTAGTGGTCAAGTCCTCATCATGTTCCTCTCTCTCTGGGTTTGTTAAAACACTTACCTTTAGCATGTGTGCTTTGGGAGGGAGCAAAGTGTGATGAGTATTCAGTCCCCAGAAGCATCCATTACTGCCTGGGATGGAGGCTTCCGAGTCGCCCCTTCAGTCTTCTGACTGCGCTGATGGCTCACGGCTACAGTGCTCTCTCTGCATTACCTGGCTCACACTGTTTCTGTTTGGCTGATTTTCTTAGTGCGGTTCTTCATGGAGGGGTTTTTCTTCCTTTATAAAAAATTTTATTTTGTGTGTATGAGTGTATTGTCTGCACGTGTGTAAGTGCACCTGTGTCATGTAATGCCCGTGGAGGTCAGAAGGTGTTGGATTCCCCTGGAATTGAAGTTAGCAGACAGTTGTTAGACATCATGTGGGTGCTGGGACTTGAACCTGGTTCCTCTGCAGCCAGTGCCCTTAACACCTGAGCCATCTCTCCAGCCCCCATGGAGGGGTTTTTCAAAGCAATCATGTCAGGTATTGCCCCAAGTGGGGCTTGAGAAGCTGGGGTGGGGCAATCTGTCAGTCCAATGTACCTTCCAGATGACACCTTTCTAACCCAACTGCCAGTCCCAACACTTGGCTTTCTTAGTTTCAGAACTATCACAACCCACGGGTACAGGCATCTGTAACACTATGCAAGTCTGCCAGTGGCAACTTTCATGCCCAGCTCCTCACTGACTAGTTCTGGAATCTTGGCTAATTTGCTTCCTTGTTTTGAATGGTGGGTTCTCATCTGTAAGGCACAGCTGCTCGGCATACATGGCTTCCTTTGCCTTTTCTCTCTCTCTTTTTTTTTTTCAGGGAGACATTGGTGGACCAGCGGTCTGTGCACCAGTCTGCTCTTCCTGGGGTGGGGTTGGAGTCTAGCTGATCTTGCCTGCCTCTGCCTCCCCTGGTTGTAACAGCCAGTTCTGGAAGTCTCTGGTGCTCAGTTTCCAACCATGCAGACAAGAGTGGGGCCCTGAAACAGGGACAGCCTTCTCTGCAGGGTGGCAGCTGGTGTGGACCATGCCTCTATGCGGCACCTTACATCAGGGCAGGAGAGATAAGGTACTGTCACCTCCGACCTCAATAAGGGACATTCACGCTCCAGCGCCTCCAGTGAACAGGCGGTTTGACATTTTGTATGATGAGATTGTTCACAATCCAATGTGCTGCCACCTTGGAAAGAAAAAGGCCAAGCTCCAGACACAGTCCTCCATCCCCAGGCTTCACAGGTGGCTCATGAATGAAGGGTGGGGGAACAACTGGGGGAGGGACACAGAGGATCCTTGACTTGGATGAGCGAATGTTTGCAGAAGAGCACCTGAGGCAAATCTCAGGGTGAATGAACACACGAATGAACACACAAGTGCAGCCCCATGTTCAATACCTGATTCTAGGTATTAAGTCTAGAAGGATTTGAGATGCAAAAGACTGACTCAAATAATTCTTAAATTGTCACCTTGTCCCTGCTTGTTCTGTAGCAGACCTAGGACCAGCCAACTACAAGCAGTAGACATCTTCCTTTCTTGGTGGTGTTGGGGTTCAAACCCAGGGCCTCACACAGGCTGGGCAATTACTCTAGCACACAGAGAACTCTTATGGCTCTGGAGGCTGGGAAGCCCAAGGTCAAAGGGCTTGCACCTGAGGGGCTGTGCGGTGCCATCCTCTGGAGGAAAGCAGGAAGTACATGTGTGTGAGAGAAAAAGTGAGACATCAACTCAGCCTCTTACAGGAACAATCAACTCACCTCCCTGAGTGGACATTAATCCAATAGAAAGACAGCCCACATGGCTGAATCACCTATCGCCCATCTCTCAATGTTGCTGAATTAGGGATTCAGTCTCCAGCACAGGCCTTTGCAGAATGAAACACAAGCTGGTACTTGGAACTCTACTGTGGAGGAAGGCATTATTATTTTTTAATATTTTACTTTTTTTTATGTGTATGAGTTATTGCCTGCAAGTAGGCAGGTGCACCCATGTTGTGTAAGCCCTCGGAGGCCAGAAGAGGGTGTCAGATCCCCTGGAACTGGAGTTATGGTCATTAGCTGCCATGTAGGTACTGGGAATCAAACCCGGTCCTCAGCTCTAACAGCTGAGCCATCTCTCCAGCCCTGGAAGGCCATTATTAAGAGAGGAAAACGGGAGGGTCCCACCAGGGAATTTTCATAAGCTAGGTTCAGATAATCCAAACAGAAAACCCTTCCCCTTCAACCTAACTGGGAATACTGTAACCAGACACCACAGAGCTGCATACTGGTCAATCAGCACTGCCCTGATTTGCATGGTGGGAACTGAGGAACTGGAAATGACAAGCATTAGCAACTCTCAGGATGCCCCCATTCATATGGCGGGAACCACATGTCAGAATTACACTGCCATTGAACAAGTACAATCTTCTTTGAAATGGAGCCCCTACCCCCAGAGCCCACTGCGGCCAGTCCATCCCAACTACATAAAAATACGTCCGCTTCAACCACAAAAGGCCACCAAACCCCTTAAAGAGACTCCCGGGTTGGGGGGGGTGCACCTGCCTGTACCACAGCAGAGACACTGGGCAACTTCCTAGGCAGCCCCCAGAATTACAGTGGTGCTTGAAGGTGCTCTCTGCTGCTGTGCCTTTAGTATCTCGGTTCCTATGGCATCATGTGAATGAAAGACTAAAGGGGGCTGGAGGCTGCAGCCTCAGAACACCGACAGATACTATTTGCCGCTGGCTTCTAAGAAAATTGAGCCCTTCTAGCAAAACATCAGAGTCTGGTGTCAGATAAGAAACTCCCTGGTTGAGGACATGGGCCCTTAAACATCCCTTGCTAGATATTAGTGACACCAGCTTGTTCTTTCGTGTTTTGCCACACTGTAGCTTGGTAAACATGGGCTCATCTGATCCTCACAAATGTCACCTGGGGGAGGAGAGTTACTCCCATTGCTGTTTAACCACCCCAGGTCACACATGATGAAGCTAGGCCATCAGTGCAGTGACTAGTCCTCTGATGCCTGGCTTATGCAGATGTGTCTCAAACAGGACCTCCTTGAGCCTCACGCTGGCCCACAGCAATGGCTGTGTCATGTCACAAAGCTCACAACGTGGAGGGGACTCACCCAAAGCTTTTCAGTTGCTGAGCCCTGGTTTCTGAACCTCCATCTGCTTTTCTTGTCAATTTGGGTATTCTCTGAAGTGAAGAACAAAATGTGTTTCTAATTAGGTGATATCCTTAAAAAAAAAAACAAAACAAAACCCTAAACAGCTTTGGCAATGAAAATGTGCAATTTGAGCCATTTTCGTGGAGCAGGCTTTGGTTAACTTGCACCTTTCAGTGCTCTCTGCTCAGTAGGGTGGAAAAGGGGACCATTTGTTCCCAAATTTGCAAAACAAAGAGCTGAACCAGGCCCTTTCACTTGGTGACAATCCTTTAATAATGTCATTTCTATTCAGTAAATTTCAGTCTGTTTTTGATCTAGCTTGATTTCGTGTGTGTGTGTGTGTGTGTGTGTGTGTGCGTGCACGCGCGCAGGTTGACATGTACCATGCACACACGTGGAGGTCAGAGGGCGACTTTCTGTTGGCTTTCACCTTCCTCCCTGAGGCAGGGCTTCTCTGGTTTCTGGCACACTGCATACTCTGGGTTGGCTAGCCTGTGGGTTTCTGGGCGATTCTCCTGTCTCCACTTCTCAACACAGAGGCCTGTAGGGCTTACAGATGAACGCTACTGCACTCTGGCTTTTTACATGGGTTCTGGGGTTTCAACTCAGATGTCAGACTTACTGTTGCCAAGGTAGTGTTCAGTGTGGATGAGAAACAAGTCTCAGATTCAATAATTCTGAGCCACGGTGGCAGGAGCAAGGCCAGATGATCTTTCTCATAGGCAGCCTTGGCCCGAACGAGTTGGGTAGTGGTGTGCCTGCCAAGTGCCACACAGGCCAGGAAGAGCTCTGGCAGTCACAAGAGAAGCTGTGGCATCTAGTGGCAGGAGCTATGACACCTGGGGAAGTGTGGTACTTTCTGTGGGTTGGCATGGCCTCCAGAGACTCAGGCCAAGGTGGGCTGAGGGGGAACTGGGAAGGGGCACCTCGGAATGCAGAGCTGGGCATTGGGATGGAGAGCACTGAGGTCCATGAGAAGGGAAGGGTGGTCATGGCCTCTCGGCAGTCTTGTTTTGAACTCTCGCTCTAAGTAATCACCTTTAAAAATGCACACTGAATTGCAGGCAGCTTGGTGGCTTCACTGCATGTGAACGGGATGAGCAAGTAGAGGCCCAGGGGCACGTCTCTCCCTGGACATGCTGTGGGCAGGGAGTCTAGCATGTTCTGTCTCCTGTAATGGATGTGTGACAGCCAGGGTGTGTTCGCTTTATTGGTTTAATAGCTTTATTTTTTTATAGGGAGAAAAAAAAAGCAGAACTAAGTAAATTCCCTGAACTGCACTCAGGAAGCCACTGGAGCCCCAGTGCACCGAGAGCCTCTGCTGCTCGCCTCCAGCAGCTTCACGAAATGGCAAATAGTACCTGGGGGATGCACCATGTCACAGGCTGGGGAGTGAAACTTGCAAATTCCTGACAAATGTCATCACATTTACAGAGAGGGGAAAAAAAAGAGCTCCACATGACTTCATTGTACGTTAAAGACCTTTTATTTTCAGACCCTTTAGAGGAATAGCTTTCACTAACCAACCTTTGTAAATGGCACAGGTTCCCAGGGGCTCAGTGGGGCATGTTCTCACGGGAACCGCCCTCTGCTGGATGGAGAAAGGCTGGTCTACAGGTGAAGCTTTGGAAGACCCAATCATTTCCTGTATGTCATCTGGGTCTCTTCCCCACATTTTCCGCTTTCGCATACCAGCTGAACTCATACTCACCCCCACCTCACAGAATTAACATGTAGAGCATGGTTTCTATGGATGGACTAGTCTTGACCAGGGCGGCACAGCTCTGGCTATGCACATCAGATTCTGCCTGCTCAGGACAGATGAATGGGCTGGCCTGGAGCTAGCCTAGCATACCACCGGCAGCTCACAGTGCTCCGCAGGTGTCAGGGATATAGACGTTTACAAACAGTCACAGATGTTTAGATAATGTTCCTGGGATGGGCTGGGTCAGGGCAGGCTCCTGACAGGACAGGACTGGCTGGTGATGGCTGCCATCAAACTTATGAGCACAGCCCATAACCTTGGCTCTTCTTTCCCCCAATACAGCACATTTCAAAACATCAGTGCAGTCACCAGAATCATTTCCAGTGAAACCAATGCTCATTTCTTTGTGAGGGCAAATGCGCAGTTAAGGTCAGAGTCAAGTGGGATGGCTCTCCCAGGCTTCAGTGCCACTTTCCTCTCTGGAGTTCACAAATAACCCTCTCCTGAAGCTGCCCCTTGGATGACAATCACGAGTCTTATTTCACGAGTGATGATGGCCGGAGGAGCTGATTTGCTTTTGTCATAGCGTCTGAGCCAAAATGAGTCACCTTCCGCCCTCATGCAGAATTTAGAAACTGGACAAACTGCTTTTCTCAAGGAACTGAAGTGGCTTCACAGGCACATGGAGGAGAGGGTGGTTCCAAAGCTGTTGGTGGACGGCATCCCATGAAGGCAGTTCAGCAGCTGCAGGGGATGGCAAAGCTCCTCACCAGACGGTGCAGGTCCGTCTACTTTCTCAGCCTCTTTGCTGAGTACTCAAGAACTCCCGCCCTCCACCTTCTGCCGGGAGGGTGCTGCATGAAGGCGGCTGCTGTGGCTTTACTTCAGCATCTTCACCATGTATGGGCCTTGTAATCTGTAGCCAATCTTTCGGTAGTAATTCCTGGTGCCGACCCCTGCAGGCGAAGCAAAGTAATCAGAGCCTCTGGTTAGCCTGACTTTACTGACCCTCAGAAGTCAGCCATGGCTCCCCTCAACCTCACAACCCTGCTCACTCTCCACAGATCACAGCATTGTTGTCCAAACAGAGACTCAGTACGCTAACTTTTGAACACTTATACTATGTTGACTTCAAACTGTATGAACATATAGAATGTGTTGTGTGGAGGAGAAACGCCCCTTTCTCAACTGCTAACATGGGATCACAGTTACATGACACAGTTACATGTGGTGGCACAACAAATGTGTGCGTCTTGTTTCGGAGTCTCTGTATCAGTGTGGTCCAGCACTATGGTGGGCGCTACAGGTGAATGAGGAGGGAGACTTCATGTGTGAGATGCCTACAGCCTACATTCCACATGGGGCCTGGTGACTCCGTGGTTTTCTGGAGGGGTGAATGAGAAAGGAGGTGGAAAGGGGAACTCCACAAGGCCTGGGAAGCAAAAGCGAGCACAGCAAGCTGTCTTAGGTGCTGGGACTACCCGGGGTCCCAGGAACAAGCTTTCTTTCATTAGTAGTTGCCAGAAGTGGGTTTGCTGAGCTTCCCTGGCCCATGGGAACATGTGGTTTGTGAAAAGAAAGGTGGGTTTTCCTCACCAAGCACGGGGGATCTGAAACGCCTGGCCTCCCTGGGTGTACTTCTTTCTCTAGTTTCTGGGGTTTGTGCACGTAGCACGCTGCTCCTCTGCTTGGTGTACTCCCACCCTCAGCAGCCCTCAGACCGCCAACTCCTAGATGTTACTTCCTGTGGGCAGTGTCCGTAATAGACCCCTCCCCAAATGTGCTGGCTAAGGTCACAGTCTCCGTGTCTCCGCATGCGGGTGCTTTCCCCAACATAAGCTGTGGCTGCTGCAGCCTGTCCCCACACAGTGCAGCGTGCTGGATCCTGCTCACCAGGGTTTCTAGCCAGTCATTTGCATTGTGTTCAATAAAAACTTACAGAGCAAATTAGATGGAAGGCAGAGGTTCCGGCTGGAAGTCAGGTACTTTCTAGCTTTCTCAAGTCTAGCCCAGTCTTTAACCCAAACATTCAGGAACAATACTTCCCATCATAATTTGTTTCTTACCCATTTCAAAATGTTTTAAGTGTTAGGAAATGGAGCCAAATCTGCCGTTCTGGAGCCAGACCTGACCTGTGGAAGACAGGTCACCTTTCCTCCTATGGTGACCAGTGTCCTACACATGCCCACCTTGTTTTGGGATAATCAATCACTACTTCCGTTCCACATGGGGCTGGGTGCAGAGCAAGGGAACAATATAGTCATGAATGATGGGGCTTGAGCAGCAGTTCTGACTCAGTGAGTAAAGGTGGCTCTCCACCTTCAAAGGGGCAGACGGTTATTGTTCTTGATCTCTCCCAAAGTTCTAGCTCCAAAGGCATACCCTAAGATCAGCAGTCACCCACCTCAGTGAAAAGAACTGCTGTGTCAACATGACAAAGTATTTTAACACCCTAAGATAAGAGAGAACCCAAATATCCATCAGTAGTAGAAAAAATATAGCCTCACAGGGAATACAACAGAGCAATGAAAAAGAGTAGCCATGGATACTATCTGTATTCACATGGAGGAATTTCCCAGAACTCTGTGAAAGGAACCAGATAGGAAGCATTCTGTTCACACAAAATTCAGACACAGGAAAATTCATTTGGTCCGATAAAGGTTACATTTGAAAGCTGCTAAGGGTGCTACATGGTGCTGAAAATGCTGTGTTCTGATCCAGGTGGTGGTTACCTGTGAATACACACTTGCTAATATTAGTCAAGATGTGTACTTGAAATTTCACACTTCACTGCATATGTGCTACACCTGGTCCAGATGTAGCTGCTTGAATCTGGCCTGCAACCCACTATGTAGACCAGGATGGTCTTGAATTCACAGAAATCTGCCTGCCTCTGCTTCCTGAGTGCTGGGATTAAAGGCGTGTGCCACCACGCGCAGCTTTTTTGCTTGACTCATTCTAACTAGAGCTGGCACTGGCTTTTGGAGAAAGCTGGAGCAGGAAAAATCTCTGCAGGAAGACACAGGGAGTGTGTAAGGACAGGGAGAGATAATGCCACCAAGTTGAGCCACCATTAAAACCCCAGTTCAGATCTCAGAACCACTAGTGGCAGATCCCAAAGCTCTAATTCCGTGGTCTGAAATGTAATACAAGGTCTTTCACATTCTCCTTGGCTTTAGTTTCTGCCCAAATGGATCTTATGATTTCAGATATATGAGAGGCCAAGACTGACAGACCAGGCTGGATCTCAGGGATCCGCCCTCTGCCCAGCAGCCGCCCCTCACTTACCCTCCAGTCCCCAGCTTGGACTCTAGACTGTGGAGAACAGCTCCGGGGCTGGGATTAACACCCATCCTGCTGGCCAGCAGCACGGACTTTAATCACAGTGCTGCTGTTTCAGTATCACGAGCTCTGTTCTACTTGCTCATCTGCCTCCCCTCTAGTGTCAGCTCTTTAAAGTCAATGGCTTCTATCATCAGGGTTATTACAGAGTCTGACACATAATCAAGACACAATAAATGTCTGCAGATCTATTATACGCTCGTTATTTTGATGTTGTACACATACAGAGAAATGTGCTCCTGCAGGATATACTTCATAAAAGAGAAATGGCTTGAAGTAGGCGCCAGGCAGGGGAGGACTCCACACAAAGGGGATGAAGGGTTAGCCTCTGACCCTGCTGGAGTCCCACATTGTTACACATTCCTTTCCTTGCTGAGAGACTCAGTGGCAGCTTTCTGATATACACTACTTTCCCTGTTTAATAAAAAACAGCCCCCAAATCTTTCCAAAAGATTTCTGGCTTTTCAGTCCTGTTGTCACATTACAAAGCAGATGCCATGACATATTTATGCTGGAGAATCTCAGGCATCCAGAAATGGAGACTACTGACCTCCTCTGCCATTACCTGGATCCCACAGTAGCCAATTCCCCTGCTGGGGTTTGGCTCCCCACTGTCCACTTGTGGAATGTCCCCAAATGATTCCTTTTGGATCTGCTCAGTTCAGGCCCCAGAGACACATATAATTGTATGTTCCTTGTCACAGGAAGATGGTTTAATTTTAAGATGGCAGCAAATTGTTTTCATGTAATCCAGGCCTGGGCAACCCCTGGATAACCAGGAAGGCATGATGGTGAGCCCAGCCCAGGGGTGTGGTTAGGACAGGGCTTTCCTGCAGCTCATGGGAGCATTTCTCAGTGATGGCTCCAGCCGAGTGTCCCACTCCTGGGGCCTCTGTTCCTCCTTCCTATGGGAACTGGGTCCTGGAGACCATGTCCAGGTGGGGAGAGGCGCCGGGGCCTCAGCCTGGGCCTTTCTGCCCAGCTCAGCCTTGCTTTCAGGAACACGGAACTTTCTGAGACAACTCCCAGGACCCTTAGGAAGCCCAAAGTACTGTGGGGAAAAGCCTGGCCTCTGCTAGTCTGGATCCAAACCTCTTCTCTCCTAAACAATTTCACAAACACTCTCTTGTATTTCTTATGCATCTTATTTCTTGACATGAAGACCTGCCATTTCTCCAATGCACAGGACAAGCTGTCTCGGGTATTATGCCTGCCCCTGGCCAGCTGGGAAGGGAACATGACATCACCTCGTAAAAGCCCTACTCGGCTCCCACCTCCTCTCTCTACTCTTTTGCTAAGGGCTCTAGCAAAATCCTCCACCACAGTAACTTTCCTTGTGTTAGTCAGCCAGGAGAAAGCAATTACCCTCAGAGCTGACGTCAGTGGCCTCCTGGACCGCATGACATGCGAGGCTGTCCTGGTTCCAGCCCAGCCTGGCTGCTGCTGCAGGAGAGGCACATGGCTGTGCAAGCAGCCGAGTTCCTCACCCCACCATCTGTGTGGGCTGCTGCCAAACCCCCAGGTTGGGATGGAGCAGGGATTCAACTGCCTTTAGCAGAGGTACTCAGGGTGTCCCCTGCAGAGTGCCCAGCTATCCAAGACGCATCAAGGGTAGGAGACCACAGCCCAAAGACTGGCTGGCTTTGTCCTCAGGACTACCTAATCCCAGCCAGAAACTATCTGTGTCACAAGGACCTTTTTCTCATTGTAGGCATGGTAAATATATTTATCATCACCACTTTACCAGCTATGATGACCCCAAACTGAGGCAAAGGAAAAAGAATGCCATGAAAACTGCCAGGGCAACATTCTGAGACTTGGCTCTTGTGGCCAGCTTGTTCACCCCTCCCTGCCCTTGAGCGCTGCCTCAGGTCTCCTCTTTTGGGAGAAGAGATGAGACACGAGTGCCCAGACTTTACTGTATGTTACAAATTAGTCAAGAAAATGGCTTCTGCAGCTGGCGTGGTGGCACACGCTTTTCATACTGATCTCCGAAGGCAGAGGCAGGTGGATCTCTGTGAGTTCCAGACCAGCCAGGGGTACACAGTGAAACTTGATGCAGGCAAAGGGGGAAACTGAAGGCAGAAAGTATTGCTTGCTCCATGAGATGAGGGGCCACTCAGCCGGCACAGGGGAAGTCTCACCCAGCGGACTAGAAGCAACAGCATCTCTCAATCTGAACTGAATATCCTCAAGCCCCTGACAATGGGAAGGAAGCACTCTGCTTTCCCATCTCCTGCTCCCTGGCTAGGTACAAGGCCACTAAGCTTGAGATACAGATCTACTTACTCTAGGGAGTGAACAAAGGAAACCACCTAAGATGCCTTGCCAGCTGCCTTGCCACTGGCTACAGGAACACGTTAGTTATGGATTGCTTACTGAGCTTTAATGAAAATGGGGTGTGTTTGTGACAGAATCCTAAAGCAATCAGGCAAAGACACAGATGGAGCACACCTAGTTGTGTAAGTTCTAGGTTACTTTAGTAGTAAGAGCTTCTGCACGAGCACGAGGGCCTGAGCTTAAGTCTCCAGTGCCCAGGTAAAATTCTGGGTGGTAAAGTGCATGGGGTGCATGCCTGTAACCCCAGCACTGTTGGTTGGAGACAGGAGGACTG